ATGTTTGCTGTATCTTGCATATTTGTTGAGTTTTGTAACCTATTATTGGCGACAATTGCTCTAGCTGCAGTCTATTTCCTACATTGACCATATTTCTAACTGTAACCCTGGACCAAATACCTTGGCCAAAATTGAATACCTGGTACCGGTACTGATAGTCGAAAAATAGTGAAAAAAACAGCACAAAAATACGTTTTTTAAAACTACTTTCAACTCTGAATATATTTTTTTAGCTATCTTTTGTTCCAAACCCTAAGCCTGAAAACGTGTGTTTTGTCTATTTTCCTTTTTTTTCCACAAGAAAAGAAAAGAATAATAGTCTAGTTTTCTAGGAAATACCATGAAACTATAGTGAAAAATATATATTTTCGCATGTGAAAAACTACCAGGGTAACCCGTAAGGCTAAACCTAACCCTAACCTAAAACTCACTTGCAGCGGCAGCCCCAGCCCCAATCCTTAACTTTAACTTACTTTTTAGAAACAAAATCTAGCTATTAAAGAGACATATATAACATCATGTGTATTATTCTTGTATTAAAATAAAGGGCTCATGTGTTTTTCAACTAGGAAAACAGAAAACCCACGACCTTTTCTCATTTGTATTCTACATGTAAGTTGTTAAATAAATAAAAAAATCATTCTCCTCTCATTATCTCGGGTACTTGTTTACTTAATATTTCAAGCAGTATTACTCACAACTTAATGAGTTCATGTTTTTAGTTTTATTTTTTATTTGCTTTAGTCCTGAACTTTGTAGCATGCCAGATGATAACATAATATTTACAGAATTGCAAATACATGTACCCATGTATGCCCATCTTTTGTTTTGTGTTTTGACAAGGTTGAAGTAAGTTTTTGTCTGTGGTTGTTGGCTTGAACATTTGTTGTTCAAACTGATTTACCATACATATGGTTTATTTATTAGTGATGACCCCACCCCCTGTTTTTTTTAAAAGAGCGTTATTGTGTGTAATAAATGGACTTTCATCTGTAGATCACGTACACATGCATGACATACATGAATATTATATAGATGAAGTGGACGGGGTGCTTAAAGTAACAGAACTTTCAAAGAGCAAAGAAATTTCGAACAGAACTTTAAATGAACCCAGTGCACCATTTCCACTCCTTCTGTATTCTATTCTGTAAAGCGCATGGAGACATGTAATTATGCCCATAGGCCTACTACGAGTCCATTTTATGCCTATGTGTTATGGAATATACAAGTATGTTTAATTATTATTATTATTAACAGAAATTTAAGTGTTCATATTTTCTGGTCTTGAACACAATCACATTTTTTTTCCCCTCAGGAAATCATCAAAGAGCAATTTCAATGCCATGTACAGTAGTGTCTATACAAATCATGTTCACATGGTGTACTGCCATGTTCATACATTTCATTGGATCCCATACAAGGCTATTGAAATTGATTTTATGGCGGCACTTGCGACCCTAGTCTCAAACTTGTGGAACATTTGTGCCAAATACAGTGTTATTTGAAGGCATGTTTGGGTTAAAATAATTAAGGAGTGACCCTTTAAAGTTAGAACTTAGATGTCAATCATAATAATACAAACACTCAACCATGATAAAAACTATGGTAGAGTCAACATGAAGTTCAAGTGTGATATTAATAAAAAGGTCAATATTTGATTTATTCATAACCCTCAAAGTTTGTTGCTAAGAGTAACGGGCCAGCTCCTCATTGTTTGTCTTCTCTTCTTATCTGCTGAGGACCAAAAGGGCATTAAACTGCTAACTAGCATGAGTTAATACCCTTCTCTGTTACCAGTATTGAATCTAATACAGTCTACTGAGATCTAAAAGGGCATAAGATTGCTAGAGTTTTCACCCTTCTTTGTTGCCAAGAGTGAAAGGCCATCTACTCTTGTTTATCTTCTACTACAATGTACTTTATAAAGTCTGCTGCTGAGGGCCAATGGGATGTTAAAGTAGCTCATTTAGATGCACAGAGATCCAGGGAAAAAATTAATATTTATTTTTCGGGGACTACTTTTCAAGCTTGCCTGCATAAAAATAACACTCTAAAATTTGTTTTGCATTGAACTCTATGCAAATTTACGGGGGCTCTTTTCTGATTTTCGGCGGCTCTTTTGGGCATTTTGGGGGCAAATTCACCCTGAGCCCCTGTGTATTTTTTTCACTACAGAGATCTATAAGTATATTCACGTACCTCCTTTCATTTATAAGTTTTGTTAGTTGAATATTTATTATTTACAGTTGTGATACAAATGTGTATATGTAAATATAGATATGCCAAATACCCACCCCCCCCCCCCCCCCCCCGAGGTTGCAAGTATGCATGATCTCTGCGCTAGTTAGAGCCATGTCTTGCCTTGGCTGAAACGGCCACCGTACACTACCTCTGCCTTGATCCTCCTCACAAAACTGTGATATGATAATGGAATTATTGTCAAAGTTTTTGATAGAGGCAATGCTTGGAGTCCATTATTGTTAATGGTTTCATTTGAAATATTTGTGTGTGAATGTAAAGCCACAGTGTGGGAGAAAAAACAAGGTGGACCATTTCATGTTAATTGTATCATTATTTCAAAAAACGTGCCTCAAAGTAAGAACACCTTTTTTCTTCAAAAATGTTTTCATGATGAAAGTGCATGAGTCTGATTGTGAACTACATGTACTTGACTTTATGAATGAAAGTGTATGACTTCCTCTTTAGCGATAGGACATGATCTATTTGACATATTTATTGCTTCCTTGATTGGCTTCCTCGTATTTGTTTTTCTCTTTCCTTATCATCAACGACTTCCTGAGAATGTGCCTAGCCATTAAAGGATAGAATAGTATTCTGATTCTACACTTATAAATCATTTTTTCATGTCTTTGGCGATATGATTAAAGGAGTGGTGAGCATTCACATATTAATAGGAAATTTTGTTGCAGGGCCATCATAATAATAATCTTGATTTATATGGCATTTAATACGGAATACCATCTCTAAGCGCTCTACAGATAGTATTACCCCGGTCATCGGATTCATTCACGTACAATGTGCACCATCTCCACTCCCTGGGGAGTATTCCTACCATATGGTAATTACCGGTACTAACTACTTACACAAATTCTTTCGTCACATCAAAAGGATTGGACAAAATGAATGGATACTGAAAAGCATTATTTCATTAAGGAACATATCATATAAAATGTTTTTTGGGGATGACGGCTTACTCTGTATTATCGTCGCTGTTTTCACGAAGTGACGGTAGTGAAAACAAATTGCATTCACTTTGCGTTACGATTTTCCTCGCTACCGTCACTTCGTGAAAACAAGGACGTTATGTGTGGTATTGGCTTATGACATATTGTTCAAGCATAAAATCAAGAATGGCCTATAACTAGCCGGTCATGATTATTAACACTTACACTTGCTCATAATTAGCTTGCGACATATTGATACTGATTCGTTCTCAAGTTCTCGTTAAAAGTGGTGTTCAAATCTCAGTTTCATGATATAATTTTCAGACAAAAAACTCAATATAATTGTAAATGATATACATGTAGCTATAGAGTTATGTATCTAACTAAACAGTAATTTTACTGAGGGGGGGGGGGGGGGGGATAATTAAGAGAGGGGTACATATTGGACATTAAATGTGAAAAGTAAAAAGGATCCAGCGTAAAATTCTTCTGGGAAGGAGATGCGTATTATGCGCTGTCAATCAAAGACTGTGTTTGTGTGGAGTGTTTATTATTTGCTGAGATCTCTCTCAATAGTTATCCATTAGCCCACAATACATGAGATTAGACCCTAAAAGGGCTTAGAATTAGTACACCTATGTGATTTTTGTATTCTTCATAGCATACATGTACAATAGGATGAGACCTAATTTGAGTGCTGGAGAGGGGAGGGGAGGGGAGGGGAGGGGTGTGTGAATGGAATAACAGGTTTAACCATGAAAGTTCACAAAAAATACAGATCATGGTCCCTATGTAGTATTTGCTGGAACATGGTTGTTTCTCCATTAAACCTATAATAATAATAATAATAATAATATGTCTTGTTTACCCAGGGTAGCCTCATCAGTATTCATACTGTTCTCCCTGATGGCCCTATGGGGAATTTTATTGGGCTAACTTTATTCATACAACAAAAAATATAATTTCATGACATACAAAATTAAGATTAATAACTTTAAGTTGTATGCAATATCAATATAAACATATTTTAATATTTTGCGTTTGACCTAATTTGATACTTGTCGGATGCATTTCACTTTCGGTGTTATATGAAGGAAAATTGTCTGTGCTCACAAGCTAAGGACATTTTTATCTACTAAACTTATGAATCCCTTTACAAAATGTTACAATATTTGCACTCCAACCATGTTGCCAAAACAGCTTCAGCAGCATGCCAAAATAAACATATCAAATTCTTCTCAGCAGTTTCATAGCAACTGAAGATCCTGTTTTAATTGATCAGCCATTAACAAATACAAAGTTCAGATAATACAGTTAGCTGTAAGAAGATATTGCAGTTCCACCCTGTTCAAAATGCTACTCAACAATAAACTGGCATTGGTATACCAAGAAGTTTGTGTGTAGCTGCAAATAGTCATGTACACTACAGAGTGTGTGTGTGTATTCTTGCTAAGTCAAGTACATGTGAGAATAATGCTGGTGCAGTTGTGTGCTGGTGTAGTGTGTGTTTGTATTGTGAGGTAGTTAAGTAGGTGTTTAAGTGTCAATGAGGTGTTAAGTGTCATTAATCTCATTGTGCTGTAATGACTTAATTGAGACAGGCATGGGGTCCTGGGCAGTGATTGATAGATTGATTGACAGGGTATGGCAGGTTCAATATAGGACAGTTAGAGAGAGAGAGAGAGAGAACAAACAGGGAGATTGCATTATGGAATGATCATGGCTTAGAAGTGTTATGATTTTAATAGTAGCTGTTAGACTTGGGCCACTTAGCAAAATTTAATGGCAAGGAAAAGGCCCCCCCCCCCCAAAAAAAAAAACAACAACCTTACATTTTGTTATAGAGGTTAATAACACACTTCTGGTTTTCAGCTGACGACTTTCAGTCATAGATCTGTATATTCCACTACCTTTGCTAAACTATGCATTTTGAGATGCTATGGCTCAGTGGTAGAGCAGTGGTCTTGTAACAGGGAGGTCCCGGGTTCAAAACCCAGTCAATGTGCTTGTGCCCTTTTGTAAGGCATTCATCCTCACTACCAAGTCCCTCAGAGAGTAATTAACGCCGTCAGTTTCCTGGTTGCTCACTTACAACATAACTGCATGCTTACAAGCACCTGCAATCAGGTAAAACAAACAAACAAACAAACAAACAAACAAAACAATATTTGCATTTATTACAATTTATAATTTTGTATGTGTTATTGTTTATGTGACATTAGCATGTATCCAATGGATACAAAAATTAATATTTTCTGGATTACAGATATTTTAAATAACAAGGCAACTAAGCAACCATATTTTGACTAAATGGAGATTTTTAAAGTGGTATCTCATTTATATTTCACACAAATGATGATGTGTTCAGATAAATTTCCAGACTGCTTGATTAAGGTGCAAACTCTTAATTTAAGGTGAAAATAAATAAGTCTACTGTGTTAAGTCTACTGTGCATGATAATCTAGGCTTTTTGAAAGAAAAGTCTGATATCTTACTTACTAGAGACTAATTGTTTGTATTGAAAGTGTACAGGTATAATCCTGGTCTTGATAGGTATTTAATGGTCATTATTCTCATTGACTGTCATTCTCTAATAGAGAGGGGCTATTAACAGATTCCAATGGGAGGACATAATGATTGAGTGATTGGCAGGTGGGGTTTAACATCTTTTGAAAGCCAGAAGGACGTTACCTGAACTTACCCTCTGTACTTAGTGATAGGAGTCAATGCCTTTCTGGTGCCAAACTGTTGCTATGGTCTTTTTAGAGCCAGGAAGACGTTTAGTGGTAGGAGGGTATATGAAATGGTACAAGTTAATATTAGTCCAGCTCAGGTGAGATGATTACTGGTATAATGATAGTCCATAGGAGAAAGGACGACTGATGAAATAGTAAGGAAGTTAAAAAGTCAAAGAGAGAAAGCCATACAAAGGAGAAAGAGAGAGAAAGAAAGAGAGAGAGAAAGAAAGAGTGAGAGAAAGAGAGAGAGAGAAAGCCATAGAGAGAAAGCCATACAAAGGAGAAAGAGGGAGAAAGAAAGAGAGAGAGAGAAAGAGAGAGAGAGAGAAAGAAAGAGAGACGGGAGAGATCTAGAGAGAGAGGGGGCAAGAGAGAGAGAGAGAATGAGAGAGAGAGAGAAGAATGAGAGAATGAGAGAGAGAGAGAGAGAGAGAGAGGGAAAGAGAGAAAAAAGAGTAGAGGGAGAGAGGCTGATAGAGAGAGGAGGGAAGGGGGAGAAGGAGAAAGACATCTTGATGGCATACCATCACACTTCCGGGGACATATTTTGTTGGGTTTCTGTCTGATCCCGGTGATGTGGGGATTAATCTTGTTGATGGAGATGCTGACATACCAGGGAGAACCCCTATAGTCATCCCTAGACCCTCTCTTGATCCTCCTCCATCTCGCATCTCCTAATGAAAGAAAATAATGATAACTGCAGTTGTGATATTAGCTAATTATGATTAATTCTTAAACGATTTCTCAAAACCTACACCAGTATGTGTTATTGCACTAATGTGATAAACAATAAATCAGGTATGCTCTGAACAAATTGTAATAATTGGGTAAACATATGAAATTTTTCAAGTAACCTGATACCTGTTTAAACTTTAAAATGCAGAAAGAAATTATTGATTATATGTCTTCATAACCCAAGTTATTTTTTTCATAATAATTTTTTCTCCGCTTTCCTCCTTGTTGCTTGCTTTGAATTTCTAATTTATTTCTTGGATTTCTTGCACTCTTAAATTTTTTAAAATTAATTTTTCACTGATCCTTGTACATGTGTAACAGAGGAGAGACATTTGACTACCTTGCCCAATCTCTCTTTGGTAATTCTTTTATATGCAATTATTAGATATTGTCTTTTTTTTTGGTTTCTTTTTGTATCTGGTCTTTCTTACTCCCCGCCATTTCCCCCATCCATCCACTCCATCCTTGCCCATCCTTGCCCCCCTCACAGTTGTTTCTACCCCCCCTCCCCCGCCCCTTCCTTCGATTCCCCTTCCACCTCCAACACTCAGCTAATACATCCAAGAGTAGCAATTACCTCTCAGCTTTACAAGCACATACATTGGATAATTGAAGCCTCTGTTTAAAAGCACTCTGCCCAGGCCGGTCTGTGTTTTCCCAGTAATGAAGGGCATAATGCGATTCGTGATTATTCATCTGTCACGGGGAGCGAAAACCGCTCTTATTCCCCCAGCGTGCCGCACCGCCCGGCATCGCCTTTCACCGCCAGCGTCGCTGTCACACAACCGGTATTGATCCAAACGTCTAAATTATAAGAGAAGCATTGAGAAGCAAACTCTCCGATAGGACTTCTGTCTTTTTTTTTGGCACTTAAAGGTATACAATTATTTCATTTTCTTTCATTATTCTATTTTACACACCTATTTTTTCCTCTTTTTGTTTAAAGTATCATTTTGATTTCATTGTGATGTACTTAATCCACTTGACATCCATTTATTCTAACATGTTAGATTATCATATCAGTTTTGATAGTTTATGAAGCAGTCAGTACAAATTTGTTATTGATGGTCTTCCAATAGTGTAAGTAGTGTAATAGCATATTTTGTCTACTTCCTCAAATTTGATATTCATTAATTTCCACAAGGCTACATTGTTTACCAAGTTGGCAGTCCGTTCAGTCATGGTATTTAATTGTCACGTATCTCTTTCCAATCATTAAATACAATTAGCCTACATTCATTTCAAGTGCCACATACTTCCCCCAAAAACACAACACGTACCAATTATGTAGCAGGTTTAGTTATATATCTGTCGAGTTAAAAAAAATAATATATATACTAACATCTTTCTGGCTCTCTGAAGCTGATGTATAAAGGTTGTTATGATTTAATCTAAAAATTTACAACATTATTTTTTTTTTCTTTATTGCAATAAAAACTTGGAGTTTGGATTTTAAATAAAAATAAAAATACAAACAAATAGATAACAATGGTAGGAATGATGTACACAAAGTCAAAGAAAATGTAGAGTCTGATACTGTGATACACAAATATATGAAGAACAGTGTGCTACAATCAAATTAGATAGATCAACATAAATCTTTTCTTAAACAACAAGGACCTTCTATTGACAATAAGTGTATTAAAAAAAAACATTTTGTGATCTGTTACAAGGATATGACTGGTTTACTAAAATGTTCAGAATTATGGATATTTCTTTCCTGGAGACCTAGTGATGAGTTATTCCATTAACCTGTTATTGATAAATGACCTACAATACTTGGAATCCTGTCTGTATACATCATGTGTTGTTATGTCAGGCAAACACAAGTTAAGCTTAAAAATAATTATCAAGAACAATCTTTGTTTAAAAAGTATGGAGTGAAATGTAAATATGTTAGTAAGCAGTCTTTTAGGCTCACTTGCTCATTGATATATTTCTGCAAAATTACACTAACGTAGTTTTTGTGGAGGTTACCATGACTACAGAGGCTAAACTGGTAGGAACCCTTGCAGGATTGATGTATTGAATGGAGGGGAAAGGTGTGATAGGATGGAAATAATGATGATTTATTGCTCAAGATTTCTGGTGGCTTTGAGCCCATTACGAGCCAGGTCAAGTTGAAATAATTCCTTTGGAAAGGACGAAAGAAACATCATGGTTTTCATCCAGCTGGTCTCTTTGAGCATTGAGCAAGGGACGTCTACGGAGAAGAGCTTTAAATAACTTAATATCTTTCGTCTGCTCTGCGGGTGTATCTATATCAGCCCTGTATCGGTCCTCTCCGGCACTAGCTCGCTCGCCCCAAACTTTTCACCGGAATTGATGTATTGATATTCTCTGCTCTGTCACTAATGAAAGCAAAGTGAGCTTCTTTTACTTGAAAGGAGTATCTGACCGTGGAGACATGGACTCGAATTATAATGATAGCAGGAGGTGTGTGTTCATAGACCCCAATCTCGACCCCCCCTCCCCCTCTCTCTCCCTCTACCCCCCCCCTCTCCCCCCTCCCCCTCTCTCCCCCTCCCTCCCATCACCCTTCCCAGAAACAACAGTTAAATCGGGTAGTGTTAGGGAGAGATGTCCTTAGTAAAAAACAATAGTCTAAAAGTTGTTGAAATATTGTGGAAAAAAAGAGCAGAAAATATGCTTTCTGTTTTTTTCTTTAACTGTGAATATATTTTCCAACTTTTTTTGTTCCAAATTCTTAGCCTAAAAATATTTGTTTGGTATTTTTTTTTCAATTTTTTTTTTCTTTATGAAAATAGAATAAGAATAGTCTGGTTTTATCAGAAATATCAAACAAGTATAAAGAAAATAGCTAAAAGTGACAATAATATGGTCAGTGCTGCTCTCTTAACGACAGGGTAATTTTGACTAGGTGGGGTATGAAACTTGGGGGAGATCTAGATGACCTTGTAGCCCTTCATTTAGCTCCCCCTCCTCTCCCTGCCTTTCCCATTTTTTGTTTGCCCACCCCCCCCCCCCCCAAAAAAAAAGAAGAAAAATCAGCTTCTAGAACCATTTTGGCAAAAATTTGGTTTCATCAGTGCCCTGATCCCAGCAACAGGTTTTTTGTATGAGAAATGTGACAAAAGGAAAGGAATATTAATAGCATTGTATGATTGATTTGATTTGATTGGTGAATCACCATTAATTATTTCATTGAATGAATATAAACTTTACTTTTCCATGAATGTTCAAGTATCACTATTGATATATTTTCACTTCATTGAAATGAAAGTTACCATACTTAATGTTATCTCTGAAACATCAAAGATACCATTGTTACTTTTATTTGGTGTGTGTCATATGAATAACGTTCAGGTACGGTTGTCCGCTAGGAAACCCTCAAATTTGTCTAATTGCCAATAGGAATTAGCTTGAAATACAACATTCTTGTCACTAAGAATGTTTTTCTTTAAAACCTGAGTTCCTGCAAACAAAATTAAAGTGTTACTACGACTTCTATAGAATAAAAACACACCGAAAGTCAAATCCAGTTTAGCGCAGGCTGAGTTCTGTGGGGTATTCACTGGGTGTGTGAGCAAACCTACCATTATGATCTGAGTACGGGTAAGGAGTTATCCCTTGATCTGAGTAAGTGTCTTACTTAATATTTTCATTAAGTATAGTCTGTATTTTTTTACAGTTGTGTTCTTCAGTTGCCATAAAATGATATTATTTTCAGTTGTTAATATACCTTTGGAATATTGAAGGTTGTATTCCTTCAAACAAACCTGCTGATCATTCATGGCATCCAGGTGAGTTGCCATTCTGTAAAAACCTTCATGGCCTAGCCACCGAAAGGGCAACTAACTGTTAAACTCCTTGCCCAAGCCCAGGGCGTCGATCCCTGCATTGCCTCCTTTCTCTCTCTCTCTCTCTCTCTCTCTCTCTCTCTGGCCAGGGAGACTCCCATCTCCCCGCTCTGGCTAAGGTTTCGAGACAAGACTGAAGAAGATTGATTGTAGGGAGTGAGTTTCATTGAACATTAGGGGGGGGGGGCCTTGGCAAAGATTGTTTTACTTGGATCCTTTGGGGCCGGGCAACGAACGGCCTCTTGTGGTTTGATATACTATTGCTAAGGCTTCCTTCAAAAATTTCTCCCTTTCTCTTTCTCCTCTCTCCACCTTTCTTCTTCTCTCTCTGTCTCTTTCAGTTTTCACTATCGTATAGATGTACCATAATAACCAATCTGCATACCACCACCTAATTCTCTCTGCCATTTCCTCTTCCTTTTCGTTTGTTTCACTCTCTCTCTCTCTCTCTCTCTCTTTCTCTTTCTCTGTCTCTTAATTATTGGGGGAGGGTGATAAGTGTTCCTTTAGTGTTTTAAGATATAAGGTTATTTTTTCACATGCTCATCATTTTGTTTTGTTGTTGCTATTTTCTCTATATTTGTATGGTATTTCCAGAAAACTTGAATATTTTGTTCTATTTTCTCATGTATTCATTCAAAAGGGTATGGAAAATGGACAAAAAGATATTTTTAGGCTAAGGATTTGGAACAAATAATAGATAAAAATATATAAGTATATATATCTGAGATGAAATAATTTAGGGTAGCCTATAGTGTAGGGTGACCTATGCATGTTTAGCTCTACAATAGTAGAGTATAAAAAAAAAAATATAGCTCTAGATTCTAGAATAGTAGCCCCTAAAAAAGTTCTGTGCTTTTTTCACTATTTTCAAAACTAGTTTTGGACTACTTTATTTTGAGTAGGGATACCAAGAAATAAAGCTAGAAGGTTTATCTGTCTGGCTAGACAAATTTATTGCGTTTGTAATGGAATGTTCTCTATTGTGACCAGTTCCCACTTACTCTTTAGTTTGGCTTTATGTCTGACTGGACAAATTTATTGCGCTTGTGATGCAATGTTGTCTTTTGTGACCAATTCCTACTTACCATACTCTTTAGTTTGAGCTTTATCAACATGAATAAAAAGGTATCTCTACTGAAACTGTAACCTCCAAAATGACATTAGCTATGGGATAATCATTATTTTTACCTGTATCAGACATCCGAGCAGTGGTTTTACATTATCATATTACACTCGTTTGTAATCCTAAAAGGGCTAATCAGTAAATATAAGACAATATAACCCCTTCATGAAAAAGCCTATGGACTTTACGTGTTAAAAAAGCATTTTCTCATATTCACTGCGCCATATTTTGTCATTTTCATTTCGCATCTATCGTGTGTACGAGACCTGCGCACTTTGCGCACACTCTATTGTGAGGTAATAATCACACCAAATTAGGCACACTGTTTGCAGTGTATCAAAATGTTGTCAAGCACTGGATGCACAGTGCTGATTTTACAAAGTTTTTTCAGTTCTATGCGATTGTCATGGTTAATTTATGTAATTGCTCTAGATGTCTGATCTGAATAACAATAACAATATTGACTGGCTTAAATTTTGGGAGATACCACATATATTGCCCTCACAAGACCCATATTGCCCTCGTCTTTGACTGAGGGCAATATGAGTCTAGTTTGGGAAATGTATATAATGTGGTATCTCCCTCAAGGCCAGTCCATATTATATAATTAGACTAATCATCCATGAAGTAAATGCAGTAATTGGTTACATAGGTTGATTTACCCCCCAACCCCCCCCCCAAAAAAAAAAAAAAACATGACTGAAAAAATAATTAACTTAGCAAAATATATATACACACAATTGTACATTTTAGGACAATTCGTTCCTGTTTTCACAAAGTGACGGTAGTGAGGAAAATCTGCACGCAAATTGTATGCGATTTTCATTCACTACCGTCACTTCGTGAAAATAGGGACTAATTGTATGTACATGATATATTTTGCTATTAAAGTTAATTATATACCTATTTTTAAGTCATGCTTTTTAGTAAATCAACCTATGTATCCAATTACTGCTGTTACTTCATGGCTGATTAGTCTAATTATATAATATAAGTGATTAACTATTGAAAAGAAAGGTCAAGTTCCATGTAATTTGAGAATTAATTAAAGGAAAATATGAATATATGGAGTTGCATACACAGTCCCTTGGTCAAGTG